CCATGCACAGAGCTTTTGAAAGTGTACGAATGACGTGGGCAATGACGCATATAAATGTATGGATGGTGTAACTGACAGGGGCTCGCGATGGATGGCGATGATGGATAGATGGGGAGGGTTCGAGCGAGAGAGATAGAGACAGAAAGAGCGACTGATTGGGTGCACGTGGACCCGGGACTGGAGAGTCAACGATAGCCTGGTCTAGGAGAACAATCCCATCGCTATTGATTGTTAGCTAAGACTTGCAGGGAAAGAAGATGTGCGCTAAGCAAAGAATTCCCAAAGAACGTCCAAGTGCACAGAAAATACCAGGAACTAATTGCAAATGCAAGAGAGAGAGAGAGAGGAGACATTGCAAAACGCGTTCACGTGCACGTCACTCGCTGCTCGCTCGACAAATAACCTTGTGGGGCGGCTTACTTTTTGCAACCATTCCTTTTTCATATTCGTGCACTCTTAGGAAAAGAATTATTGACAAGCCCAGCAGGAACTCTTCCGCAGCGCAGCCCACAGTTGCGGAACAAGAGCAACACACTGTGACACTGTGCAGAGAGGAGGAAAGCAAAACAGCACTTGTCGTCGCAGCACAGGACTTACTGCACATACATTGTGCACGGTTGTATAAACATAGCTAGTGTCATCGAATTCGATAACACACATACATACACACCACACAGGAGAAGAGGAGGAAGGAGGGGAGGCCTTGCAGGGCTGCGGGCGGGCCGACGGCCGCCTCGGCCCGCACACCGCGCAAAAACAGCTATTCACGTCGTTGTGCGGGCCAAAGAAGCACTGTGTGTGGTGCTGTGTGTGGGGAATTGGTTCGTCTCGGACATAGACAATGCATATTCAAACACCGGGTTCTGTATTCGTCGATAGAGCGAATTTCCAGATGAAAGAGTTCTGTTGCAAAATTAGCACTTTTTCAAGGACATTCTGCAAAGAAAAGCGAAAATGAGGGGAATAACGGTTGCAGCGTCAGCGCCGTCACAACTGCACCGCGATCGATCCCCATGCAGGAGGACAGACAGGGCAAGCAGGCGGCTGGCAATTAGAAAGCTGGCTGCTGAGGGTGGCGAGTGGGAGGGCAGAGAAGGGGGGGGGGGGGAATCGAAGGACCGACAGACAATACGCCACACATACACTGTGCTCACACACATGGTCGCAAAGGCACACACAGCACGCACCTCTGCGGTAAATGTGAACACGAAAGGGTAGGCGTGGCGCGAATGTCTAGCGGAATAAATGCATGTGTGTGTTGTGCGTGGCCTGCATTTGTGTGCACATATAGATGATTGGATGTAATATGCAGCACACAACACAGAACAAACAGATCCCCCCCCCCCCCCAAATGGGCGATGCGATGTTCTGGTTGAATGCTGCCACGGAACGACCGATATCACACATCAATGCTGGCGGCGATTACGATAGCCCAATAATCACAACCACCACTGAAATGTGGCTTCTGTAGTATAAAATATGTAATCGTTATGCGCGAATCTCGACCGCATGCATAGCTAAATGCCATTTACGATGCGTGACGATAGATGGTGCCAGGAACCACGACGCAGATGTGTTTCTTGCCTCTGACCGTGTTACGGAAGCCGGCCATAAACATTGCGCCATGGTTGCGCTGTTTCTTATGCTCGAAAACTCTACTTTCCTACTGAACGAGAACACTTCACCGGTTGAGGAGCCTATTTCCTTGACAAGCGGGTCATCCTTCGGAAAAGGACACTCCAGAAAGGATTAACCTCTTGAGCGTAATATCACAGGGCAGCTGTTATTCAGAAATAACAAACTAGAACATTCTAGCACACCATCCTCATACATACCTCCCCATTCCAAGGTTATGCAACATAACAATCCAATCAAGACATCGCAACTGTAAAAACAATAATTGCCTCAAATTTACACCGATTTCAGGCAAAAAAGGGTTTGTTAAGGGTTGTGCAGGGAGAAAGCCAGCAAAAAGTGGTACAGACATTGTCCTAGCAAGAAATGGCATGGGACAAAAAGGTTCTGCACTTAAGTACATTCATTACAGAGTTAGCAACGCATTACAAAAAATGCTATAAAACCTCGTGATATTTAGGTCACTATTACGCTACAATCCCCTCATTACCTTTGAGCTTACGTAATTTTTGTAGAAGAGCAAATAAGGTTACTTAATTAAAAGGCACTGATACGGACTGAAAGTGCTTTTAGCACATTAAAGCTTGCGACTGAAGACTGTCTGCCTCCATACACTCTCTGACTCAATCCCCAACAAGACGTGCATTTCTCCATTCTCAGTTCTTGCATTAGCATAGCTGATTTAGATTTCCCAACCTCAGAAAAAGCAAATAGCCTTAGTCAGAGGTTTTTCCTATGTGAAATCGAGGCTACCGCTGACGTCAAGTCATACAATCCCTTTAGAACCCGCATACACAACGCTATTTGCATAAAACCTGGCTGTCGCAATGGCAGCAAAGAACAAAATGCAAAAATCTTCGTCGCGTAGCTAGCTAGCGTATCTCTCTGTGTCTCTCTTCACCACCCTCTGGTCAACCCGCTAATATCCCCGCGTCCAAGGTCAAACTCATTGGAAAGAAAACTATTCAAGGACTAAGTAGAGTTCAACGAACGAACGAGTCAGCGCCGATGAGCACACATACACACACACAAAACACATAGAGACGACTTTTTGCCTTTGCAACGACCATATGTCGTCCATAGATATAACAATCAAAACCGGATGCGTTGAAGAAACGCAAGCGACGTATGGTCGAGCTACGCAAGAAGTCAGTCGGGATATTTGAGATATGCACAATGAGAATTGCGACAGATGATAGATAAAAGGATGGGGACTTATTATTGTGGAAAGTCCCCTTCGCTTTTGTAGCTGGTGCATTGATCCCTCTGATTGTGGGTAATAAATGCTTGAATTTTTCAGCTCAAACTTCCCCATAATCAGAGGGCAACCTTCATACTACGGCTCAGTTCGTGATTATAAAGGAAATCATCTTCTGAAAATTCTGGCCATACAGTGGCCAAAATCTGCGGAGGATGTGTAAATACAGCCCTATTTAAACTGCTCTGTCTCCTTGAACCTTCTCGAACCCTCATAATTGGGATAGTTCCTCATGTCCAAGAAAAAGTCTCTTGCAAGGTTGCAAAGACCTTGAACACATTCATTACATTTCTTTGCGATTTCAATTCTTGTCTCTCATTCTTCTGTTTTTTTTTGCTTGGATAATTTATCCACCATGCAATTCTTTCTTTCGCTGAGTTAACTTGACATTGAGTCGACTCACTCAAGAGCTGTCTTCTCAATGTCAAACTGACATCATACTTGAGATGTTGTTTAAAAGATAAAAAACATTGCCGAACTGCTCTCATAGCATGTAGTTGACCTTCTGAATAGTCACGTAATGAACTCTGATTCTAATCGACCTCGAAATTCGCCTCTGAGTTGTGGCAAAGATCATACTGTAATTCCTAGCTGCATACTGTAATTCAAAGCAGCAGAAACGCTAACGGTCCGTCTCACGCAGAATTCTGCAATGGAAAAAGCAAAGATCAGTGGAAAATAGATCATCGTCGAGTGTTTGTTCACAGCACACATACAAACACACAGTCATTCACCTACACAAACAGAGAAAACTCTTCGCCGCTCGTGCGTGAGTGGTGGAGCTTGAGCTTCCGAAAGCAGTAACAGTGAGGGGACGAGATGAAGAAGAGCGAATGCAAGCAAATACTGCACAAGCTAATGTAGACCAACCAAAAGTGCTTCTCTCCACGTTGAAATACCCTTATGACGAAGGCAATGTCCAACAAAATGAGAAAATTAGCGTTTTGTTTCAAGAAACAGATGTGCTGAATGATAGGCTCAAAGAACAAAAGAAAAATGAGATATTTGCAGTTGAATGTCTATTACCTGACACGAATCGAATGTGACAAAAGACTGATAGCGCTGTTTTTCGAAGCATAAGAAACATTCAGTGATATATTAGATAAACACGTTTGAAGCGTAATTTGGAACAATGCACGAATCTACAGCTGTACAACAGACGATACTTTTTTCGGACTGAGATTAGTTCGAACGGCAAAAACACATAATCTGCACGAACAGGTGACTTTGCAACTTTGAACCATCTAAGGTAACTCTATAATTCTTTCTCATAGACTAGCTCATACGCAAGTCATCCACTGTTCCCACAGAGTTCACGCTTTACTGCACAGGTAAAGCTAAAGTACTTCCTGCATAGTCTACACGCTTCAGGAACTCGAATGCATAAAATAACTTCGTTGTAAAATTACTGCAGTCACGCCAAAGGTCAGCAAGTTGCACAGAGTTTTTGAGTTGTCCAACTAGTTCCGGTGATTATCGCAAAGTAACAGCGTTCACTTTTTTCGCTGAAAATATGCACCACAGTTCGAGCTCTAAACTCTTACTTTCGTATAATCCACGATTTCTTGGACTTAAAAGCTTAGCCAAAAACGAAAAAAAACTTCAAAGCAGGCAGTAAACAAAGCATTGCGTCAGGCTGGGGGATAATCGTTTTCTAATGGGCAGTCGAGTCAATCAACGCATTTCACAGAACTCAAGGTCGGCGCCATTCTCAAAGTTCGATTAGTCTCGTCAGAGTCGAGCAAAAACCTCGGCGCAAAATACGTAAACACGCAATCAGGAATGTGCATCTGTAAAGAACTACTTTTTCTGCCGATTTCAAAAAAGAAGCGCAGTGATGCACGCACGCAGACACAAAGAGACGAATAGAATAGGGAAGTGTGGAAAAACAGAGGTGAGAAAGAGTGCAGGGAAGACTTCTGCAGAAAAGAAAACTTTCAATGTCAACTTGTGCTAAACCCGACGAGACGCAGGCAAGTAAACGAAGAACGCGACGAATGAACGAAGTGAAAGTGATAGATAGATCGCCGCCGTCATCTTTGTCGCCGTGGTCGTAACGACGGCCTCGCACTGACGATCCGAACGAAAAAAAAATGCGCAAACGTACCGTGCCCACGATAGCCGACGATGCACCACCAGCGGCTGATGTTACAGTTGCTGCTGCGTTGGCCCCGGCACTGTCCTTGCCCTTTTTCGCGGCCTTGTTCGGATCACGTCGTTTACGTCCTCGCTTTTTCTCTCGTTTCACACGACGTGCCTCTTTGCGAGCCTCGTGTTCGACGCGTTTTCTCGCTTTCTCTTCACGTCGCCGTGCGTCAGCTTCCTAGAATCAAGATTAGCTGTAATATTAGTTCACACACTCACATCGAACATTGCAAGTGTATTCTTAGCGCGTCTACAATTCTTTTTCAAAAAACCGGCAATGTGCACACGATTTACAGCCACCAAGAAGAGCGGAATTCCTACTGAAAAAAACCACAGTGCAAACTAGTATTCCGAAGTTTTAAGTGATTCATTTGCTTGCTGTTGGGATTCACTGAATCACCAAGAAAACGTTCAAATGAACTATGTCAAACTTCTTCAATACTTTTCAAAGCCCCTCAAGATGTAGCAAAAATTCAGACGGATAAAAGCCTCGAAAGAAAGCACAGAACCTCAACCCTGACTAAGGGCATAGAGAAGCACAGAAAAGAAGAATAATGTTGCCATAGTCGTCCCCATCCCGGTAAACACCTTTTGGACGATTTTGGGTTTGAAATGGAGCAGGCCGGTTGAGGTACAGCACGGCAACAACCTTCAATTAATTTGCCTCAGTTGGTGCCGTGGTCTACTGCGAACGGTCTGCTCCAGTTAAAATTCAAATCCACCAAGTGTCAACTGAGATGAAAACGACTATAAGTGTAACATGCATGAACTACGAATTCAAAACAATATAACTACGTTAGCCAATCGTACACAAACATCTTCATATAATCTCATATGCCTTTATGTGACCGCTGCATAACTCCAACTTTTTTGTAATGCCCCTTACAGACATGATAAATTATGAATCACTTCATCTAAAGGCGCTTAGAATAACATTGCACACCAAAGCAGAAACGTTTGACGTATTAGTGTATACATTACAGTTCATTGCCCGCTTTGATTCCCACTGTTGTTTCTTATGTAATGTTTTTATGATAACACATGATTCATCGATGTTATCGTTCCGTTTTGCTCGGTCATAACATTTCTTTCTCAACGTCTGGGGTTATTAATTTCATAGCGCGTAGAGGGATAAGAATATTTTTCTTCACTGAGTCTCAATAGTGTGTTGCTGTAATGTTAGTAGTAACTGGTTTACGACCTGGTTTTCGTTCAACGCTCACTGCTCGTTCTATGCGGTTTAGTGAATATTGCTGGTAAGTAAAAGTCAAAGAAAAAGCGTTCTTTACAACGCATTGCAAATGCGTTAGGAGCTCCGCCTATTCACGGAGTAAAAAAAGCGATGTTTCCGCAAAAGTTACTTTCTGGAACGTTGTCTATAGATTGGTAAAAATAGTAATGGTGATTGCATCAGAAAAACAAAACTGCACTTGCAAAAATAAAAAAGTAGAGAAATGAACTTGTATAGTAAAGCGAAATACTGCGATTAAGATGTTTTGAAAAGCATTTCAGCTAGAAGTTTAGCATTGAGGAAATTTTGCCTGCTCAAGCTTAGATAGCTCTGCAAGCTTTTCCTCACTATGAAAAAAGGGCAAGTCGTCAACACATAAATTCTAACAATTGAGCGAGAATTAAATACTTTGGTAGAAAATTGTGGTATTGCGTTGATAAGCACTGCTATACAGGAACGTAAGCAAAAATAGAAAATAATAAAAAATCTATGATCAAACGTTCAAATCATATATAAACCGAACCGATAGATTACAATTCAATTATTATAATGCGAACAATGGACGGCATTTTCGCCAGTATCATAGCTTCCTTTACCAATATTGGATACGAAAGAGCACCACTTTGATTATTACAAATCTTTTCTATTCTAAGGCAAAACATTGGATAGTCTGAAGAAAGAAGGATTCCAAAGAAACTAAAATTAGTTTTTAGACTGTTTCCTAAAAATTTTGTTCACAAACATTTTTGATCCTGACTCGTTTAAGGAAAGGAACGAAATAGGATTTCATGAAAAAGATCTAGGAGGCCGACAGTGGTGGAGCATGACAGATTAAGCCATCAATTTAATTTGCCTAAGACGGTGCCGTGCTCTACCGCAACGAACTGCTCCAATTCAAATTCGCAATACAGCAAACGTCACCATTATCTCAATCCAAGTGTCTAATCAAAGGCTATTCATCTGGCGCCAAAAATAAATCACAAAACTTTTTGGAACTCTAGCATGCAGCGGTCATCACATGTTTCATCACTGCTACCTTCTTAGTACACAGCTACGATAAGAATTCAAAAAACTATCGCTATCAGTTCCGCGTCGAATCTCTCAATGTCGTTTCTTTGCGTAGCCGAGCAGTTATCATTTATCAGTTCGGGCATCGACTCAGAAAAAACGCCGCATTCTATCACTGTGCGGTCTAATGCGCTCAACTTTTTCCATGCTATTACACATATAGCGTGCTAATCACACCACATTTTTCTCTATCGTTCTCTAAACAATCTTGTTGCTCAAATATTTTCTGACAGTTATCTACGGCAACGAAATTTGCGCACTATTGCAAAGAAATCACATAACGGACGCGGAAAAACGCCAGCAAGACAAAACCGGTTATCTGTGTAGTTCTTATCTACACTTCCTGTAAACACAGTCCAGGCACTTTTTCTCTCTAGCAAAGCAAAGTGCAATGGACAAACGAAAATGACTCGTTCGTTTTCGGGATGGGGATGTGAACATTTCGCTCTGCACAAAGCGCTTTCACAAAACTTTCGCGTCAAAGAGTTTTGCGCTATTTTTCTCTTGTGAATAGCACTAAACGCTCAATCACACATAAAACCAACCTGTTCAGCTTTCCACTGCTTTTTCAGCTGCTTATCGACCACAACAACACTTCCAGCAGCTGCAGCTGCTTTTTGAATTGCTTTCGCGTCTCGAATGGTCTTCTTTAACAATGTATGGCGTGCTTTCCGTTCTCGACGTAGTTTCTCTCGCTTTTGCCCACGAAGACGTTTGCGTTGTAGTCGAGCCGCCTTCTCGATTGAACGCTAAAAGCAGTGGATTACGTCATCCATAGAGAACAACTTGCAAAAGGTTTCTCTAATTAAGAGTTGCAGGGAGAATAGCAAATACTGGACACAGAAAGAAGTGCGATCGATTTAGAAAGAAATGAATATGTGCTGATTGGCAACAAAATGCAGAAAGAGGAGAGACTAAAGATGTTCGATGAAAAGACTTAACGGGTTCCATTATCACTACTGTTAGGTCAAAAGCATGCAGGCTCTATTTTGAAAGCGACATGGATTTATTTCATTTTCAACGATATAAGGGCTTCACAGAGCTTTGAGCATAACCGATGCAAATACATAAGCAGAGTTTCTAGCAAAAAAAACCTTTCCCAAACTCCATCAAACCCTCTTTCCAGTCAGATCTTTTTCTCCTACTTTTCCTATGGTGCTATAAAAATTCTCTTGTGTAAATATGCATACGGCTCAAGTTTCCATGACGCTTTGTAACGTGATACTTTCATTCAAGTTAGAAAAAGAGTTCAGACTACACTAGGCAATCTTTCTCACTAATAATTCACTATATAAACATCAAATGCTTTCTTGCAATTCTTCTATGACGATGTATTCCAGTTCTAGATGGTGAAGCAGTATCTAGGGGTGTACATACTTCGCAGACTCAACTTCTGCTATATACTCATGAATAACAAACAAGTATTTCTCGTTTCTTTTCGTAACGAAATATATCATAAACAGTTAAACGTAAAATCGGAGTTCATTTATATGGGGGCTTTACATAATTTATGCCCAGAAAAACCGCTGCAGGAAAATACTGAAGAAAAAGCTAAGCGGACAGCTGAGGAACACACACAATGCCCATCACATGAATTTATTCTCGCACACAACGGCTTCTCTCGCTAGTCATTCTGAACTCTCAGAATGTCATCTTTTTGCAGCTCGTCTTTCCCATTACACAAAAGGTGAACAAAAGATCATTTGGACGTACGCCAAACGTCCACATTCCTTTACAAAGTCAACAAACTTCGTAGCGCATTATCAATCGACGCCGCGATTCTAAAGCGATGTCGTCGTCGTCGTTGTTTGAACGATGACCTCATCGCCTGATAACGTGCTCCAAATAAAGGATGTAAAAACGTGGCAACGCTTATCGATCAAATCGTTGATGGACGATGTGTAGACACACACAACGTGCGGGAAGCGAAGCGGGGGACCAACGCACACAAAACGCCAGATCAACTAATCAAAGTAGCGAAAAAGAGGGGGTGAACTCTGGTTTCGTGTCTGCCCAGTTAATCTTATCAGTGTCAACAAAAATTGCCAATGTATAGCGATCAAATTTGATTTCACATTCATGTCTTGATGCTAATTGAAACATCAACGAAACATGTTGATTTGATTAGTGTGTCGCAATGAGAAAGGACGTTTTCTTTATGCAATTTGGGCCATTTTGCGGTAATCCGTGGAACCACTAGGGTCTAGTTGGCCTCTTTTGATATCTTCTACACCATCTTGATCCGATTAGCAGACTCAAACTAAATGACCAAAGTACATTAAAGCGAATCTGTCACTGCTGCAGCTGCAAGTGCACACAACACATCAAATCCTGTTCCAAATTTGATTGGCCAAAAACCGCAAGAAGTCTTTCTGATTTTCTTTTTCACATGATGTGTGCATTATACACATTACCGGCAAACAATCTAGCAAGTGAAAATCAGGGATTCAACTATGCTGACAACTCCGCGTTCTACTTCATTTCCTGCTCTTGCAAAGTTTTGACTACCACATCTCCCCAATAAAAAAAGTAGTACATTACTATCAAACACGGATTCCTCCACCAACTCCTCTCCATCACTACACTACTCTCACTTCACTTGACCTTTCTGCAAATGCACACTACTACACACACATACACTCTGGGAATGAGTATCTAGCAAACATGCTTATCACTGAACAGCACATGACGTCTGGAGGGTGTCAAATAGCACACTGGTCTCTCGTCCACGACATCCACGCACGTTTTAACAACAAGCAGCAGGTGGGGGTGAGCAATGTGCAGAATATCAGCTGCCTGAGGGGATGAACAGCCGCAGGATCCTGAGCCCATAGATCTTTCGTGATGGGAAGCCGTAAACACACATCACTCCACATCCTGATGCATGTCGTGACGGGCTTCGATCTATAGGGAGCTTAGGCGGCCAGCAGGGACCTACGTCAAGGAAAAGAAAAAAGGGGAACAGCTTGCAGGTACCTGCTCCAGTAAAACCAGATACAGTAACTCAATTCAAGGATGAATTTCATTAACTACTTGCACCAAGATGGGATAGTCACCATTGAGTGGAACCACCGCACCTATTGTTACTGAAAGCAAGCTGTTCCTTTACTTTTCTTTCCCTAAAAGCCGCTTGTTCTACAGACCAAATTCGTCACGATATATATCAGGATATGTAGAGATTTGTGTTCACAGCTCAAGTTGCGGATCAAGCCAAATTGACTGTTAGGCAGCTCAAATGGCGCCGGCTATCGATGCCTTCCACCACTCATTTTGGCTCAATTTCTATGACCCTTCTTTCAACGACATTTGCATCAGACTACGGCGGGGTCCAATATATTTTATGCATGAGATAATGACTTTATCGAACGGAAAACTATTATAAGCTTGTACTTTGATCTTCCATACCATAAAGTCAGCCAAAAACGTAGCAAAATAACAGTCAATATGTGACTGCCTAACTGCCATATGACTTCTCATCGTTCATAAAGCAGAGGCGATAAGATAACACCCTATCTACGTCAAAAGATTATGCCCTATAAATCGGTTTCCCAGCCTAGAAAAGAAATAAGCTGCACGCAGACTGTTCGATGCCCCAAGAATATATCGCTATATAATCCTAAGATATACCCTAAGCCCAAAAGCAAACTATTTAGTGCTCCGCAAAGAAAGGGAAAACGATATCTTTAATGACTAAGTGCACAAAAAAACTTTCTATAGAAAGCATCGTTCTTGCACTTCCTATTTGCTCTGCATTTGCACTTTCCAAAGACAATGATAGGGGGACTGTCTAGAAACGAAAGTTCAATTGTGTCATTGTGGTATTGGTGTAAAAACTAAAGCTTTGTCGTTATCACAAAAACATAAATACGATAAAGCGATTAAACGAATGTTTTCATTGTCATGGGAATTTGACGGCAAAAAAGCCTACTGCACCTGAATCCACGTAGTGTCAAAGTCCACATTGAGGGAAAGACCCAAAAACAATGGAGTAAAGCAATAGCAAAAGGTGTGTGATACACTTTTTGTCATGATAAAAGCTGCGCAATGATGCAGCAGATACTTTACACCGTTTTCTGCACTTTGCATCCATTAACGACAATAGCGATGACTAGTTTAATGAAACTGGATGATAATTATACTGAGAGACAACTCAAAAACTCAAGGACACGATAGTAAAACGCGCCATTTTAGGAATTCTCGAATGATTCATAATTTATGACTAAAAAATGTCACCTTAATGCAGTCTGCGCGCTGCATCACGCCACCACCATTTATTAAACTTGCTCATGTGAATCAAAAATGCAAGAATAGCAAATTTCTCTAAATGATCGATGATTTCCTGTCAAAAGAAACTCGACAAATCACTCAACAACATCCAATTCTCATTCTGACACGCAGCTTTTTTCGTCTCTGAGAATGTCCTTGCACTTTAGTCACCGTCATTCGTCTCACTGTGTGTTCAATAACATCCTAATCGTTTTCTCAGCACACTCACACACACATACACACCAAACCACTCTCGAACGCGCAAAGAATGATTCTTTCCGTTTTCAAATAGTGCACTTAGGGACCGGAAGCTCAAATTGCGCAGAGAAAGAATTGAAAGAAAAGGGACCATAGTATTGAACCAGCACTGAATAGAGGTAATTTGAGAACAAAAGCATGAAAGTGGAACTTTTAGAAAAAAAAGCACGAAGCCAAGAACGATTCTTCTCGTATGTGAAAAACTATTTTCTTCAAAAGGCCTTACCTCATACATGATTCACCTATCCAGTGCAAGGGAAGAAACTACTATTTGAGTAGTTTGTAACTTGAGATGTGTGCTTGCACACTATGCGCGGTAACTGACGACACCTTTACTAGTAACTTCTCAGTAAGACCTAGTGTAAAACACTGGAAATGTTCTGCTGTCTAATCATAACCAGTTAAATCACAAGAGACAAGGATATAGGGAGTAATCACTGAAATAACGAAGATTCCTAAATACGCAGAATCCTATCTTACAAGTCGTCAAGTAGCGCGCATGGTGTGCAATACGCATATCAGGTTACAAACAAGTGGAGGATACGTGCTTTTCGTGCTCTATAAACCAGATCGTATAATAGAACATCTTGGCACAATAAAAGTAACATGAATCACATGTTTTTATTCGTGTTTGGAACATCTGCTGCTGCACACTGAGGTTTAAGAACTGGCAAAAAGCCAACAGTTTAACACTGTTGAACTCTCAAACACATCACATCCAGCTACTTGCCACAGCTGTTATCATGTAAATAGCATATGTGTGTAATGTGTTCTTTGAGTTTGGTGGCCGAACTCGACATCGTGCCACGATGTACCACCTACTTCGTAGCATAATCATAATTCAAACACATTCTCATCTCTAGAAATATGACTTTGTAACGTCAACACTAGCCAGCGCTAAGATCCGTTCCACTATGGCCGAATGGAGTGCAAAACATCGGAAAAAGTCCGGGATGCGCTTCGCACTTGTATTTGAAAATAATGGGCAGCAGCGGACAGTCGTAGAGACACCACTGAGCAAAACTGGTCCCACCATAAATGAATCTGGGTGCCTGAGAGAAAAACGAGCTAAACGGGGTGAATAACGACATAATCGCCTAACGAGCGGTAGAAAAAAACCGCGCTGCGAGAGGCTAAAGAAACCGAAAGTGACGCCGAAATGGCGAGGGGTCGACGCGCAAGGACGGGCGCGAGGACGACAAACAGCAACTACAGGGGACGTGAAGGTCACTCAAGGACGTGAACTTATGTGTACAGATCTTTGACCGCCATCTAAACTCTAAACAGAATTATCAGCGAATGCCAATCCGATTACGAGCGGAACAGTGTGTACTGATTTGCATTAGATTAACGAATGCAGCAATAGAACAAAGATCACAACAGTAAACATTTCAGCCAAAATTGCGTCAAGCAGAAGCGGTATTTAGCAATTTCCCAGTTTAGATAGGGAACTGTTTTAACATTACGAACGAATCCCATCGCCTGATCGGGAGCTCAATCATAACGATAAAGCAGCGCCCCACCAGAGATCGGGCGATTGATGAATACCTCCCCCTCCCCTCCAGATGAATGCAACCCTTTACAAAACAGATTTGAACATATAGGTGCAACTTTTAATGCCCAATTTTCTTCCAGTCGTAAACATTTCGCAACGATATCGCATCGTGCACGGTATCGAATCGCTAAAACTAAAGACCAATGCGATCGTTTTCGATAATCACAAGGATACCAGGTGATGTTTGCATTTGCACACAAAGCACAGAAAAAAACGACGCTAAGTTCTAGACCAACAAACTTAGCGATCACGCTGCGGAATGCCTAAGGTTTTCAAAAGAGGAAGGGGGGGGGGGGAACTGTTTGACACACGAGGATAACCTGGGCGAGATGGTTCGAGATGCTATTTGGCTTTAAAGAGAAAATTACATTTAGTACGGGATAGGGAAAAATTACTTCAAGAAAATGTCGTAATGGATTAAATATAGTCGTAAATCTTACGTTTCTGAATAATATATTCAAAATCGATTTATGATTATATAATTATACAGATCCATACGTCCAGATCCACTATATTCTTCATGGTCTTACACATAACCGCATTAACTCAGAAAATGCTGACCATTATGTGATCCTAGCGCCAATGCGTAATGAATCACTTTTTTCCATGTAATTTAGGTTTCGCATAAATTATCATTTTTCTCAAACACGCCGCCTCTTTACAGTATACACTCGAAAATAATCAGAGACTGCACAAAATTCTACGTGGATCAGACAATAACCACTCAGCCGTTCCGCGAATGGACATAAAAACAGGGCAATCAAATTCGCAGCTGAGGAAATAAAAAGTGGCTACGAAACGAAATAAATCACATGGAAATAATGTGTCCTTGAATAAACTCGACACACACACACATCGTAATTGAGCCACACACAACATGTCACATCACAAATCGTGACAAGTAATGCACTTTCCGCGGATTTCGTGACCTTCACGGTCAAAAATAGCCAAAAATTTTTGCACCACTTCAATCTATCACTACTTTTCAGCGTCTATAAATCAAGTTTTTTCACTTATCGCACTATATCGTGAATCTGAGCGATAGAAGAACATTGGTGGCATTCATTGCAGCAGCAGCAGCAGCAGCACTAGCACAATAGCACAAACACGTTTTTTGCCAACGCGATTAAGTACGATACGATCGCAGTTAATCAGAAAAAGGAAGTCGTTGAATGCGACGCGATAGCGACGTCTGAACGATATGGTCGTTCACATCCACTAAGAGTAATGTCACGTACTTGCGAACGGAACAGCACACATGACATCACGTACTTGAATAAACTGCGATGTAAAAGAACGTGAAGTGTACAAAGTAGGTTAGAACTGGTTGCAAAAAGCGAAACATCGCATGCGTCAACTTGCAAAATTGCATGTAATCAGAGCTGTCAACATTTTCAGGGCAGTCAAGAGTATATTTGCGAATTCCTGAAAATACATCCGTCCTGAGCGAGAGATTTTCTCTCAGCAGGGCAAATCTAAGTGACTAATTTTAGACATGGACTGGCGGAAGGACAATTGCTAAGGAGGCAACTCACACGATTTACTCGTGCCCAAAAAATTCAGCTCTAGCCTCGTCCAATACCGTATGTCCAAGCGGACCAATCAGCGTTTGAGTACAGTACTAGTTGATTACTGATTGATTTAGCGAAACTCGAACATGAAAAAATTATGGTGATTAAAATTTGCGCTTGAATTTTTCGATTATGAATGAATCGCAAGCTGTAGCTTAGGCAATGGTTTAGCTTGAAGTTGAAGCTTCGCGCTCAAGATCCAAATACGAAGCCCATGTGATTTGCTAGACACTACCTCTAATCTGAGCATTTACACAGAGCAAATAGTTTTTTCTGCATCAAACGTTGTCAAGCAAAATTAGGCTTGAGAAGCCATAAAAAAAAGCATTGCGCAGTATGAAATTTTCACATTCCTAGCAACAAAAACGCAGAAAAAAGCAACATATCAGCATTATGACTGACCAAAGTTTGAGGTGTTACAGTTTGCAGAAAAACCAGACGAATAATTTGACCTCTATAATTATGATTTGTAACACTAATTGTCATAACCACTTTTTGATCTATCAGCAATCAGCTACGACGTCACCTTCGCAAACAAAAACACTGTTTATAGCAGATTACCTCATTAAACGTATCACAGCTTATAAAAATGAAATAACCCATGATTTTACAAAAACGAAAACACATAAGCTTTGACTGAATCTGAGCACTTTGTGGTTACACGCAACTCGTTAAAAGCAAAACAGGCACATAAAGCATAGAAACCACCAAGCAAGTTTCAAGCAAAGCCGTTTCAAGCGAAGGCTTGCGTCTCTCCGAGTTTTTCAAAAATGAGAAGCCTTTTCTACTCATGTGAATGTGTGTGGGAAAACAAGCACGCCATATGCATCGGTTTTATAGATGCAAAATCATTTTAGCCCTAACCTAGACTCAACCGTTTTTCTCAGCCATACTTTGCAGGATTATTCTCCTCTTGCACCATTCTTTCCAAGTGCATTTATTATTCATTGAAAACGGCGTATTCATCAGCAAATGCTCTCATTTCTCATTCTGTTGAACGCGCTGAAAACATCAGTGCAAAGCAATTCGGCTAAATATAACGACTACGCTGTTCCAGCAAGACAGGGAGCTAATTTTGGTCTAGTTAAGCGAACTTCTCTTATTTATTGTCATATTAGAATTATGTACACAAATTAGTAAAAACTCAAGTACAAGATTAAACCGTTTATAAATGCAAAGACGTGAAGGAATGCAAACTCAAAAGATAAACCAATTGTGTATGATTATATACCATACAGAATGCCTATTAAATGAGTCCGAAACATCAGCAGTAAGCAAATAACACTAGCTTGGCAGCTCTATGCTATTTTCACTCAACCCCAAAATCATTTTGAATCAAGAAGGATATGCTCTGCTACGAATTTTCCCAGAAAATGAAACTCTTTTTCTCCCGACAAGTTGGGCAAAGAAGTTCACCACTGGAGCAATTTTACCAGAAACTTGTTCATTTTACCGCTTGTGTACATGAATATTTACAAAAGGATAAAGAATACACACAAGTATGTCATAATCTACTAAGCAAAAAAAAATTTCGGAAAACATGATATCTATGCTTACCTTCTGAAACAATGAATACCTCCCAATAATTTGCAAAGCAAAAAACCTAATCTAGATGCAATCATTTGTCATCAATCTCGTTTTTTTGTTATTCTCTGCCAAGGCGCATGAACGCACCAAGCAATATGCATTTATTCATCAACATTGTCATTTTTGCGCGGCAATGAGACGCCAAGGAAAAAGACGCAAAAAATGTCGTTTAGGGCAAGATAGAAGAGCGATGACGTTCACATTTGCCGAGCATACGCATACACACGCAAACAAAAGTACAAAACTGCAATGGGGACCCAAAGAGCGAGCATGCAAATGATCTTTCGACGATTGTTTTGCAAGTGTTAAACTGCCAGAGTTTGAAAATGCGCTTGGCGTCTGATGAGGGAAAAGCACTGGTAAAGACAAAAATTAGCCAAACTCAAACTTCTTTGAGCTCCGAAAAAGCGAAACAACAGGACGTCACTCGGCGTTGAGCATGCAAACTGGCTAATGAATGTGGACTCAAAATCTCTCGGTATTCCGACTAAAAGTAGGCCAAATGTACATACGTAGATCACTTTCAGAACGTTACACGTACACTCGAAGTTTATCCAGCTTCTACGTAACTATACACCAAACAGCAGATTTGCAAACATAAGCTGCTCTCCCGCTAAAGCATAGGAGGATCGTCTCTCATAACCCATTCTTATCTGCGCTCATTTAGATTAGATGTGCGTAATCGCACCATGTTCTCACCGACGACCAAGCAGCTCCCAGAGGCTATTTTTAGACTGTTCTCAACGACACAATTATTTCACATGAAGCATCGTTGCCATTAAACATTCTTATCTTGCGCCGTTGCGACTTTCAAGAACAAAAACATTGATTGTTCTGAGATAACGTCTCGGCAACTATTCCTGTCTTGAGACAATGTATACACGCAGTTGACCTTTAGCGACAATAAGCGAACAAAACGAGAGAAGCCCCAAGAAAATAAAGGGGATTATAGAGTTACAGATGAGCAAAATATGAAAGGATAAAAACTTGCTTAGACGCACCTTTTTAGCTCGTATCTTTCGTTTCAACTTCTCAATCCGTAGAGCTTTCTCGGCAGCAATTCGCTTCTTTTCCAATTCTTCTCGAGCACGAACCGCTTCCAACTCTTTTTCAAAAACCTGAATAAGTGTCGATAGAGCCGATAAGCACCGAGTTACTACAAGATAGCTTTTTACTCGCAAGAAGAGCTAGTCAGATTTATGAAGAGTTTTATAGTAACGCAACCATCGACTTTACAATGTTCTTCCACACAAAGAAACGCTCAATTAACTGGAGTTCAAACCGGGAGAAGGAAGAAGAAGCTTGAGAAAAAGATTTGCAAGCTTTTCAATGCAGAAAAGCAATTAACTGCAAGCTCATAGTAAACAGAAGCTTTGATAGTTATTACTCTCTAGCCTCACTGCCTTGAATATGCATTACGCATTAATTCAATGACGCAATTTTAGTCTGAAAGGTGGCGTTAGGGAGTTCAAGTGCGGCATGAACACATAGAAGCACCAGAACAACAAAATTAGTTGTAGTAGTGACAGAATGGATAATTTCCAAGGTTTATCTGCGTCACTAAATTGTTTTGCGAAAAACAAAAGATGTTGTGAAAGCTCAACATTCATATCTTGCGAGAATTTTCCTATGCCCAGAGCTTTTTCGGAGCGTTGAATTTGAAGCAACATGTCACTTTCAGGACTGCATTAATCTTTTCAAGAAGTTCTGCATAAGAAAAAACAAACATTCATATCAAGCCCTGATAAGCAATAATGCAAGCAATAAATCAACTTATCCTTCTACTAACAGAGAGCATTTTATGCTCTATATTTTAGTTTTTTTTTTCTAGTCTCATGATACCGTGCGGAAAGCTAGGTACAAAAGAACCAGCCGGACTGCGACATCGCCGACCAAAATCTTATGCATATTTTATGCTCATTTTCATACCTGCAGTCGAACCAACTTCTACCACATTACAATCACATAGCACGAACATTACTCAAAGGAAGTTGAAAAAGAGTACATTGATCTTTGGATCCAACGAGCTTCGCTTATACTTATGAACAAATTATTAGGCTTCTTAATTTCTTTCCTATACGCAGAATAGGTATGGTATGATCATGGCTGTTCTTGTAAATGTATGAGCACTATAACTGAGCATGCGAGAGAAATCTCGGCCTACTTGAGACGGAGTTTTGAGATCCCAGTTCACTACCGAAAAAATTTTTGGCTGATCCCTATTCACAAGATAGGGGAAATTTATAAATGAGCGACTGCGTACTCAGGTCCAAACATTTATAAACTTCCCTGGTTTCATGTAATGCATAGGCGTAAGTGGATGGCTTGAATTTTTGAGCGCAAAGATCCGAATTTTCAGCGAGTTTGAGGCTTTGAAATACCCTTTGTAATTGTTGGATATTATTTTGTAAAATGTGCCTTGCTCTTATTTTGTAGAGTTGCCTTGCTCTACCTATCCATAAAGAATACTTACAGTGATCCAACATCGACTGAAAAAAAGAAGGTTAGGACTTTGTTCAATTCGGAAAGAAATCATAAGCAAATTAACAATTAAGCTAGCTTCTTTGACACTGGCGCTCTGCAAGAAAACTGGCTGCAGTGGTTTACACTTTTAACATATTTGTTTTCCTGCTGACGTTCATAGAGTTCAGTCACATGTGACTGGTTTCAAAGTATGAAAGCATCAGCAACAGAGTTGAACAAATATTAACAGCTGTTAGAAAAGCTATTTACAACACGCTGGCAAGTGGTCTAGAGAGACAGAGAACTCTACAAAAAGTTAACTTGGCTTCAGTACTTGCAAAAAACAAACACGATGAGGTTTTCTAACAATTTCGCAATCAATGATTTGCCGAAGACTCTTTCCCACGCTTTTTCACAAAGATTGTTTCGCCATGGCTAATTGAGGGATAGGAAACGACAAAGCGCATGATCAAAGCGTGATTTTAGCATAGCTACACTCATAACGAGGAAATAGCCTGATGATTAAAGGCAGCGTACCCCCAAAACTTCGCTTTTTATTTTTTTGTCATTCTAAGGCTTTTACGTGGCCCTATGAAGGCTCATAATGTGCAAAACTCCCAACCCGATTTCTGGGATCCTCTATCCTGAAGGCACAGATGACTTTCAGCACCTGGGTAGGCGGAGCCTGATAGGGTGGGCGTGGCTTGATAGCAGTTTTGTGGGTTACAGGTTCATTATCTCCATTCAGAGAGCATTGGAGGACCAGACCAACGCAGATGCCCCTATACTGGGATCTACATACACGATGGATACTAAATGAAGGGGCTTATATTTTGCCTGGAGGTAACCTTCAAATGCTTTTGTGCAGCAATGCTATTGGCTAGCTAAAAAATTTGCAGCGAATTACGTTATACTTTGATCCTTTTATACGGTAATACTGTAGGAGGAAGCGCAGGGGTCTTCAAAACATTTTTTTACCTTTGACGGCAAATGCAAAGTGCTCTAGTTTACAGCTATAAACGACCAAAGAAAATGGCGTTCTGAAACTTGACAAAGACCCTTACGGAAGCTAGAAAATGGAGGAACAAACATTCACCTACGTTTAGACTTTGCTTTCGAAGTTTGAGGGACTAATATAATATCACAATGGGTTAAAGCAGAAGAAAGGCCGCTGCGGCAATTTAATTTGATGTGAAGGCAGTTTTCATCGACGACTTGTAAAAACACTGATAGCGAAATTAGAACAGTGTTCGCCATTGAACGCAAAAAAAGACCAGCGCTTCATTGCTTAACAGCGAATAAGAGATAGAACTCGCAAAAACATCAAAATCGCATTCCTCGCAAGATAAATCCACAGGCAATAATTCAACACGAAAAGATTGAGTTTTGAACATTTTTCAAATGTGACACAAATAGAACACCTGCTTTTCAGAACACCCTAATATGATTACATGTAATTCTGTAAAATAAAAAGGAAAGCATCTGCAACTAACAGACCAGCCGTTGAAAGGATGATGCTGATACAAGAAGACTAAAGGTCTCCAAAATCAGCTGCAAAAAGTAATTCCAAACTTCGTCAAAGTGAACTTTCCTTGTTTTAGACTACCTCTAATTGCGAAAAACCGGAGCTACAATACTATAACAAATCATTTTCTACGAACTATGCGTGTTTCATAAAGTTTGAGCAAATACGTCGCTACACAAAAGCAGAACTTTCGTGCAGCCGAAATACGCTATTTTGGAATTTATGCGCCTCTTACTGAACCGGATGATCGACGGCAAGCGCACTAATACTAAGTTTTGAAAACTAAAACGACAGCAAGATGTCAGCTTGGCCGCGTTATCACAACCAGGACCAAATACTATCCAGAAAACGACTATTTAAATTTGTACTGATGCAAAAAGTGGAAAAAGAAATGTTGAACAATAATTCGCATTGTGTAGGTGAAGATCGGGAGAGCATATCCATCTGAACATCTAACCACGAATTCTGCTTAAAAAATGCGCTACAAACAATCAACATCCAGAAACAAGAACGACACATGGTCGAAACATTTTTATGAATATTCATTCAATTCATTATGTGTGCAATAATGGCACGATAATACCATTTCATATAACATAAACATTGGCAAATATCGCCATCAACTATTCACATACATTTCCGCACGCATGCATGATATGAAAATCGCATAAAGTGGAAAAAAAGCAGCTGGTCGGAACATGAGCAATATAAATCGTGCTTTCAAAAACTATATTTAGTGCCTCTCTGGCACTGAAGAGATTTCCTAGAAGACTAGCCCAACTCTATACGCTGGTCTCAACTCCTAACTAGTATTTCCTACCAAACTTGAGTCTGAGCTGAAGCCTGATAGGGGAAACAACGGCAAAACAACTGAATGTGCAAAAAAAAAATTCAGGAAGATTACTTGGCATTTCCAATGTTTTTTTTCTGCAAGTCGTTCATGTTATAAAGCCCGTATCCGGTCCAAACATACAAATACGGCAGCTAGATATTTTAAGGTAGATATTATCAATTATCTCCACAGATTATATAAGATCTAAGAGAAATGCAAAGTTTTGCTTGTAACAAGCACTTATCCTCATGAAAAATCGATATATGAAAATGTGTAAGTGACATGTTTATAAATGCAGTAATTAAAGTGATTTTTAGAATATCTAACCTTGCAAAATTGACTTCGGGATTATCGGCCCACAAAAATTTTCGAAGCATCCCAAACCTTCGGAGTGCAATGCTGACGCCAAGCACTTTCAACAAAAAAAAGATTTTGTCGCCTTTGTCTCATCGAACGGAAATTCTGGGTATACTGTTCGCTACTGATAACAAAAGTGAAAGTTAGCCACATTTTACACAATCTTTCTTCTACAAAAAAAAAACAGGTAAATTATTGACACCAGGGAGTGGACATATCTCCAAAAGAAAACCCCACCTTGATAACAAATAAATTCCAGTTTACACTAAGGGTCGACTGCAGCGCAATAGATAAGCGATCTCACTACAATATATAGGATGCTACAGACCTTGCAGAAAGCAGCGCTAGATCCTATGAATTCACCTTCAAGTTTCAAATTTCGAGTGACACATTATTTTCTTATATGCATGCACAGAAGTTATCAACTTACATCTATGAAAGTTGATAAATCCGATGATAACGATTCAGTTATAGAGCCGAGACACCTCCTAAGTTACTGAGTTTGCAGCGTTAGATAAACATCAACAATCTTGCAGGTGAAAGTAATTTACGCAAAAACTCAAGCGTAACCCAAAGCAGTCCGAAGTAGGTCCTCCAAACATGTAAGCATGTAAATACGCTCGGAGAACATTTCAGTAGAGCTTGGTACCTCTGAAGCAGCCCAGCTGATAACTAAGCTCACCATATGCCATGACGCGCCAAAATTATATGCTATTCATAGCGGCAATGACATGTATACAGCCCAATTAGCATGCGAGATATGTAATCAGATACACTTTCGAGCCGATGTCTTTCGTATGCAGTGAAAGAAAGGGGTTTTCACGCAAAAAGTGAAGTCAAATCCAATGCGTATCCCATGGCACTAAATTGAAAATCTTAAAAGGCAAAACGCTCTGTACAATGTTCCAGGAAACCGATGAACGGAGGCGTAATCGAAAGTGGCTTCAACAAAAAACTTACTCCTAGATCTATCCACCGTATAATTACCGCAGCTTACTTACAAGGGAAGGAAGGTTGGTCGAAGTGGCCTTTTGAAATGAAGTGTACACTGTCTCGTAGAGCTTGGAACGCTGATTCCAAATCTGCCTTCGCTATCTGCTGCGGGTTTCTGGGCAAGGAGCTATGAAGGTTTTTGGGAGTAAAAACTTAATTGTAAAATTAGTGTAAAATCAGTCGTAGCATTTTTCCTAAGGCTTAACTAGTTATCGGGTCATTCGATGCAACAAATATTCTTGATTCGAATATACCAACTCGCTGCTGCTCCATTTGAACGTCAGAAAAAGGTTACAACCGACTTTTATACTAATCTTGCACTTGAATTTTTACTCACAAAAACCTACATAACTTCTCGTCCAGAAGCCCGCAACAGACAGCAAAGGTAGATTTGGAATCAGCGTTCCAAGCTCTACGAGACAGTATACATTTCATTTTAAAAGGCCACTTCGACCAACCTTCCTTCCCTTGTTAGAAATGGAAAACAACAACGCTCTTCAAACCCGGAAAAGAGATCCTTGAGTTATATCATGGCCTGAATTCTAATATCAAAGGCGCTACACAAGCCCAGCTTCCAAATGGCCAATTTGAGAAGATAATGGATCTTTGCGACGTCTGACACTTAGCAATACTATATCTTTATCTTTATCTATTACACTCGAGGTGCACCAAAAAAATGAGTAAAAGCACAGAAGAGAGTAGAAGAAGTAGAAGTACTTATGAGTAGAAGAAATATACTTCTACTACGTTACTTACTTTTACTTCTCAGTACTAGAAGTACTGAAAAGTACTTCTAGTACTGAGAAGTAAAAGTAGGTAACGTAGTAGAAGTACTTACTGCACAGCAGCACAGTAAGTACTTCTACTACGTTCATAGAATGCCTATGATGTTTTACCTCTTTACCTCGACTCGTAGCTTTCTGAAAAGAGAGTAGGCTGAGAGCTGACGTTTTAAGCTCGGAATCACTGAATTCATGACATAAATGGAGCCATTCTTGATCGACGTAAGAAAAAGAAAAAGTATATGAAGCCACGTAAACAAGTGTAACTCTCTGACTGGCTCTTCCCCACATATGTTACAAGAGAAAGTTGCTCAGGACACTCACCTGCGCATCAGATACACATGTGAATAGCAGCAACGAATATTCGTCGAATATCACTTCCTCCACAAAAGGTAGCTTATCCGTAGTAGAATCTTTCGACTGAATTGTATGTTGTTCAGAATCATGTTCTATCAACTTCTTTTTCTAAAGCAGTATAAAACAGAATTTAATAGAAGAATGCGTAACGCGTAAATGGCCAAACAGATGTCTGCATCACCACTCACATCTAGAGATGACGTAGACGAATCTTCCGTCTCTGCCGAACTTTCCGATGAATTGATTGCTCCATTCTCCTTAGATTGTTCACCCGTTTTTTCTTTACCAGTCTAAACAGCAGACTGTGAATAAAATTCGACAAAGAAAGGTGAAAGCTTTTCACCTCGCATTCTCCATTCTCAATCAATATCACACTTGAACCCGACCCGGAGTTACTCCTCTCATCCACTGCTTCTTCTTTGATTAATCGAGTTGACGTTGACGGTTTTTCGTCATCGCAATCGGCATTTTCTTCTTTTAATTCGCTTTTCGGTTGCACAGATGCAAATTTCGGCAAATTCAATGCGCCTGAACCATAGATAACAACAATAGCACATATTTATCTCTAATTTAAAATAGAAACTAACACTTACCCAAGTATGCAGACGTATTCGGACATGCTACGTCATGCAGTTCGAATTTCGGTTGAGGTGGGGCCGGCGGAGGAGCGGCAGCTTTTGCACCGGAACTCATTCGTCCACCACCTCGCCCACGAGTACTTCCTGTTGAATGATAACCGTTCGGTCGAGTACCACCTCCAGCTGCTGCAGACGCTGCGCCGCGACCACGACCTCGTGGTTTTCTACTGAAAACGGCTACTTTGATCATCGCCGCAAAAGCAAAAAAGTTGAACAGTTGCGTGAGAGAGTTATCGGAAAGTGAATTGTGGTGTGAAGTTCTTCTCCTGTGAAAAAAGTGCGATAGAAAGAAAAAAAAACGCTGCAAAACTCTAGTCAGCTCACTGAAGTCAAGCTCTCTAGGGGCCGCATGCACTAACATGGCCGCGGGGAGGGGATCGCAGCTTAAAAGAAAGCTTCATATTTCAAAACTCCAGATACTTGGATTTCACGTTGAGTACCTATTCGTAAGTAGTCCTACTATCCTTCACTATGAACATGTTGAACAGGAGCGAGAACCTGTACAAATCGCATTTTCCAGCTTTTGTATGATCCCTAATGATCCCCGGCGCTTTTCTTTAAAGTCATTTTTCTTTCTCCGAAGTTAACGAAAAACTTCCAAAGTTGTGCATATTATCTAACCCAACAGTGCTAAGCATGTTGCTGATAAGAACAAATGATGTTTTGAAGTCATGAAATTTTCGATGATCCACAGGTCGAGATTTGGGGTATACCGAAAAATTCGATTTTTCAAAAATTCATTTGTTCTCATCAGCAACATGCTTGGCACTGTTGTGTTAGATGTTCAGTATAACTTTGGAAGGTTTTCGTTAACTTCGGAGAAAGAAAAATGACTTTGAAGAATAGATGTTCGTCCCCCAGGGATCATCAGGGGATCCTACAAAAAGCTGGGAAATGCGGCTTGTACAGCTTCTCGCTTCTGCTCAATATGTTCATAGTGAAGGATGGTGGGAGTACTTACGGACAGGTAGACAGCGTGAAATCCAGATATCCGGAGCTTCAGGATATGAAGCTTTCTTCTGAAGCTGCGATCCCCTCCCCAGCGGAAATGTTAGTGCATGCGGCCCTAGAACATTCTTAATTACCTATGATACCCATGATATCATTCCCCGCATGGAGGAAGTAAACTCGAATTATGAAAAACAAACTTTAAATGTCATCATAACCTCTGTTGAGATGAATGCGCAACATTTACAGTGAAAATGGCAGAAAGTACAAGATATGAGGACAGCAATAAATGCGCACATGCGCCTATAAAAACGACCACCTTAACAATGAGCGAATGGAAAAGCGAAAAACCATTAGAAGAAAGAAAAGCTCTGCAAAGTATACTTTGACTGACCTGAATGGCAACGGCGTCTTGAAGCACGCATCGTCAAAGGACGGTTGTTTACTACTGCTTGGGGCCGACGTGGTTGATGGTGTAGCGGTCAAAAGGGATGAAGACATAGAAGAGGTCTGCAAATTGATAAGCTGAGGCATACATAGACTAATCAAAATCATATCAGCATAATGAAAAGAAGCGAACGATCTGTAACTCCTGTGATACATGAACAGAAAATTCTGGAAGATCTGCGCGGCCCGGAACAAGGCAGGATGCAGTGGTGAAAAAGATGAGCAGAGTTGACAGTTCTTATAGACCTAGCCAAGACGTAGCCAATCTAACGATGGTGAGATCTAACGATTGTAAGATCAAGAATTTTCAATCCACAACTAGAAAGCGACAAATGAGTACTTCAAGAGTACACTCGCTTGGTTTATGCCAATAGTATTGCAGTCGCGATACAATATCCGTTATGCCTACTTCAGTTTGTGCAACGACTACACATAAAAACGGCAGTGGAGGGGAAGGTGTAGAAAAAGTTAAATTGACCAACGGAGGGCACTATTAGGCGAAAACAAGTTTATCAAAAAAAAAAAGGCTTCTTCCGCAAGATATGGTCGAAGAAAACTCATGATGATCCTCTCGTTGCAGATTCAATTCAGAAAAAAAAACCATCCAAAGGATTGCGGCACTCAGAGGCAGCGAATGTTATTTTCCGCTGTTACATAAGAAAAGTGAGAAAATACAGCTACAAAATCAATTATTGTGGCGACTAAAACCCTATGGTTGCCAAGTATATCAAACCTAAAAAGCCAGAAAGTTTCACAAGATAAAAAGTGAATAATCGCTTTCTCACTCATACCCCGCGACCACACGCTTTACAATTTTACATCACACAGAAGTGCAAACAGAGATGACAGACGTAGCGGTCAAAAAACATGATGCAACGCATCATCAAAAAATCTGCCCAGAAAAGAACGAAAGATTTGGGGTGACCGTTCAATGTATACATTAAACAAAATAAACAGTACAAGACAAGAAGAAAAGCGGTTTGGAACAGGTTCCTTCAGTACCCCTTTTCACAATGGAGAATGTAGAAAGCGTGGGCAGAGTTTCGAGCTGACATTTTGGGCGCCCTAATTTCAAAGGCATCAAATACTTTAGTGCGAATCTGCAATCTGAATGGTTGATGTTGACCTTAGAGAATGAGAATAAAAGAACAGTAGATGACTGAACGAATTACGATCGTTCTACATGCCATTTGCCAAGAATAATTCGTACAAGACAAAGAATACTACATATAGCTTCTCATAATCTCAATAGCATCCCTCAAAGGGTAGCAACAATTCTCACAGGCGATATTACCTAGTCTACAAGAACAGATACTCTGACTCCATGCCAACGTACTCCAAACAACACTTTGCTCTGCATTTCCGCCACATCAATCAGGCGTGAGAGGAAAGCGCTCTTAGACTAGCGGAGAAGCCAAAAAATCTATGACCATCCAACACTGCGAGCGCAGAGCCCACAAAAAACATCAGCTGTTCGGGATTTGCTACTCCTAGATGATTCATGTCTCAAATTCGAACAATGGGGCGATGTCACAATTATGCCATTTAAAAACGACATTATGCGATAGATTAAAGTAGACGTAAAGTGGGCTGTTACGTCCTATGAAAGTGAATGACTACATGTTTTCTAAGCGCAAATACAGCACTGCGACGCAGTAAGCTAGAGATGCAACTACTTTTGCAAATGTCGCATACTATTGATATTACCCCTACACAGATAAAAATAAAAACACTGACGTATGGAAAAGGCAAAAGAACTCTTGACTAAAACACACTCTAGAACATGCGTAGATCTCGTGATACTGTCTCTAACCCAGAAAGACATAGGTAGATCCTAACCAGCTGAAGTTCTCTCTATCAACTCCCGTTTTTCTTATACACCCACACATCGACTAACCCACAAGCGTCTCCAGCAATCAGAAACAAATTGGGAGGGAAGAATTATAAACACCTTCACGGACAAGTTACTGATGGGAGGAAAAAATGTGAGCACATTCTCGCACAAATTACTGGCACGGGCACTAAAGATTGGATCATCTAAAAGGAGAGCAATCTTTACTGCAAAAACAACAAAAAACCAGTCACAACTCGTACTTTCAGATCATCGAATCAATCCTCATAAACGCTCTAAAACATACGTAGATCTCATGATACTTTCTCTATCACCACAAAGGAATTATACCCTACCAGCTAAAGTTCCCTCCATCAACTCTCGTTTTTCTCATGCACCCACACATCGATGCGACGCGAACATCATCGTCATTGTCGATGAATGGGTGTTAGTGTGGAACAAACCGGCACTGGCATTTATTTCGACAACATAACAACAGGCAAGCATATGCGCAAGTTCCTGGCACTTGAACCCCTTCAAGTATAGGACTTGTGAAGGTGTGGACAAAAAACTGAATATGGAGCAATTTCGAGCATCTTTGGTCAGATACAAATCTTCCCTATCATGATCTTTTTCAAAGTGTATGGAAAAATAGCTTGAAAATGCCTAATACATGCAGAAATCGCTTTAAAATTGCTTGTTGATTCGCACAGCGCATTTATGCTCTATTGAAGGAAATGGGACTTAATATTGTCGAAGACAAACAGATCGCCCCTTCCCTCTCCATGACGCACAACTAACGTCAGATCTACTATTCTTTGAACTTGTGACGGACAAATGCGGTACCCAGCAGATGCGGATGCAAAAAGATCGAAAAAAAGAAAGATTAATAACAATTTATTAAGAAAAGCTGGTCGGTTAGACGTTTCTTTTTCATAGCGTTTTGGAAAACATCCCTACAAATTTTAACTGCCGGAAAGTAGTAGAACTTCTAATAGCTTCATCCACACGAGCTCTGCAGCTGTACTCAAAGCTGCAATTCGCCATGTCTACGACAAAAAGCTGTCACGAATAGATGCGACGTGAAATTGCACAGCGTCAGAAAGTGCAATCGCAATGCGCACATAAATCACGTATGCATTAATCATGTTCTGCAACAATTTCTAGTGTGCCAAGCTACAAACAAGCCAAACGCTTTTTGTGATCACTTGAAGGCAAAATCTCGCTCTCCGGTTTCTCACCTTTTCGAAGCCTTCTCGCCATGCTGAACCCAAATCTAGGCTTTGCAGGGTACAAAAATGGCGAGAGCTATTTTGGTGCTCTCCATGTTCGCACTCGCTGCAAAATAAAGTGGGTGGGGTGCAGGGCCCGGCACAGATCGTCTGGAAGCAGGCTGGACTTCGTTTTTGAAGCAAACAGCAAAGGAGATATCGTTTCTGACGAATAGGGGCCAAGCACCAAGAATGAGCGCCACTTAGTCGAACACAAGCTATTCGGACACGATTGACATGCTCTATCGTGCATGGTGAAAAGTGCGCGCGATTTGAAAGCAAGGCTAAAATAAACAAATTGCTTGTTTACAGCGCACACAGAAGCATATGACACCAAAATTGAACTATATGTATAGAAAATTATTTGCGAAAGTATTATGTAAAAAGATTTGAAAACTTATGTGAAGTTATACCTTTTCCAAAATTAGATCGTCTCCAGACGGCCACCAGACGATCTGAGATCGTCTGGAGCATATATTTTCGTCACTTCACATAAGTTTCAGATCTTTTTAGCATGGACGGATTCCCCGGTCAAATATCTATCCCTGAGCATGAAGACATTTCCATATCATTGCCTTTCCTTTGTTTTTTGCCTTCATTTATTTTCGCTTTATTAAATATCGCGCTCTAATGCCAAGATCTTGTGCATGCGTAGTATTCAGCTCCAATTTGGATTTTCGCTATTATCTTACGTCTTTTCTTTCAGACTAGTAATTTTTTCTTGTTTTCATCCTCTTCTTAGCAGGTAGGTAAAAGTGGACTTCGTAAAACTTCCGTATGTCAAGGGAGACTTCGTTTTCAGAAACCCTAGAAACCGACTCGTGCCGAGCCCTGGTGGGGTGGGACGAAGGGGCGGGGTCCGCAAGACTTTCAAAACGGAATTCAGGCTTCCCAGACGCGCTTTTTCGTTCCAGACTTCACTGATAGATTTTGTTGGGCCTGCCACTGCAACACTTCAAAATTCCGATACCCATCATTTTGCCGGGCGCTGCCTTTGAGAATATCAAACAGCAAATTCTTTTTCATCTACGATCTTATGTATGACCATCGAGAAGACAAAGTTCACATATCAACGTGTGACGAACCTAGACGTCTCAGTTTTGCTAGATCGTTGCGCTCTTGCAATTAGCTTCCTAGGCGGCACTTTGTAATTCGTTGCAATTTACTCTTAAATGATAATTAAGTTTACCAAATTGAAACTGGAGTTCGATTACAGATTATTGCAGCAAATTAACGATTCACAATGTGAAAATACTTCTATTTCTTTAAATAGCAATAGTTTTCAGAAAAATTAGCTCAGTTGCGGGCGTCATACTAGCGTTCGTAGGATAAACAAAACAACATGACCTCAAAGCTATTTGACCCAAGTCCCAAAGTACGTCGCGCTTATCAGATTCGCATCATCACGACAATGTTAACTCAACGACCGCTTTTTACAAAAGTTTCCAAACTGAACTTAGACCGCTATATAACGTAAAAAAGTAGACCGAATTGAAACCGACGACTAATGGGTGGTTCTGAAAAAGGCAAAAACTGAGCAATGTATTCGCTCTACATAAACTTGCAATTATCTGCAAACAGGTCTTTTGTGATTTTCCTAGGGCATGAGAAGCTCTAGTACCACATATAAATTCAGTGCTTCTGAATAGCCCATAAACGGGCAAAGAAAGAGCGATAGCTTCTTCAACATCATAATTAAGATCAATGATCTATTGAAGTCCAGATGTTGGGGTGTACGTTTAGCAAGTGCAATCAAAGTAATGGATTATCAAGGAAAAGACTGCAATTTCACGGAAGTAAAAACACCGCCGAGTAGTGAAACCATTAGAACGGCACGACGACATCTTTTTTATTCGAATACTATCACATGTTACTATATTGCAGTACGATGTTTCGTACACACAGCTGTCTAATGCACTACAGTAACTGAAAAAAAAACATTTTTCTGGATAATAAAATGG